TATCGTTCAGCTTGTATGACAGCTATATGCTAACCGATATCGGTAGTTCCGACAAATATGCAGCTGTTTGGTGAGAAAAGGACATGTGCTAAATGAGAGACTTGCTCGCATATATACACACATACGGACATGGCTAATCAACTCAACTCATCACGCTGATCATTTCTAAATATATTTTATAGGGTCTCCGACATTTTCTACTGGGTGTTACATATTTTGTGGCAAACTTAATATACCTTGTTCGTGGTATAAAAATAAATACAAATAATTCATCTAAGTGAAAGTAAAAATTGTAAATTGGTTAGTCATGTCTTATATTATTACACATAAAGAAATATTTGCGTACGCAGACATCTCCACTATATCCTTTGAGATTGGCAAATAAGTGGCAAGACATAACTTTCTGTTTACCCGAAAGCAAGCGATATTTGTACTGAAAAACTTATAACTTTTACATTAGCGGTCACAAATACAAGCACACACACAAGAACTGAAGAACTGTAGCGCAAAAGAAGGAGTGTGAGTTCTGACGCTCAAGAAAGTATTTCGATTTCAGCTACATTTTGTAACTTTATATATTGATATTTATTTGTGCGTGTGTGCGTATACATAAGTATATGAACCACTCAAAACTAATTTCCAAGTAATCTGCATAGTTTATAGCACTTCCACTCACCCTTGGATGTGCAATTTATCAATGTAAACTGTTTTTTTTTCTCAAAAGAGCGGAAACCTAAGGTTTATGTCAATACCAATGAGTTTTCAAATGTACATATATAAGCTTGGCAGGTGTGTAGGTCGAACTTCGTACCAAATTTGTAGTTACTGCTTTAAGTTTTTTCTTCTGCTATATAGGAGTTATTTATATAACTGTTAAGCTCATACGACGAGTTCAACAATTTTTCTAGCAATTTTAGTATTAAATTTTCATATATCAATCGAAAGGCGAGTAACTCTAAGACCAAGAATATCTTCATTTTTTATTACATTTTGAACCAGTTCCCAGCAGCCTATACAAATAAAAACATAAATACAAACATTTTTATATATGTATATTTGTCCAGCCTTTTTGTTGGCAAGAACCATCTAACTCCCTCTAACTCTTTTCTTATTTCATTCGATTTGCGCTTGGTGAATGTTTTATCATCGAATTAAACACTTTGAGACTTCGCTCACACCACAAATCTATATATATATGTATACATATACAAACTAAGCAAGCAAGTCGCTTTTAGCAGTTTTGGGCAGTCCCCACCAAATTGTATGCAAATCTCAGTGCAGATTAACAACGAAGTTGACAACAAGTTTGTTACTCTTGTTGTAATTGCTGATATTCCTTTTGTCGCTACTGAAATGTGTTCGCGGCTGGTAAATTCTTTGAAAACTTTTCCTTGTTATCGTCATCATCATGATCACCATCATTATCACTATTATCTTCATCACCTCTATCACAGATGTAGAAATAATCAGTAAGAATATTATTTGATGTTTCTCTTTTAGACAGTTCTTAATATTTTAGCACTTGGTCTGCTACTACTTGGTATGTATTTCTTTTGTCCCAAGGGGAAAGCAAAATCGCAATACCGACTGTGCGTATAAAGGAAAAAATCTATCTAGTATATGTATAGACAGCCAAAAGCACAACGTCAATCTCCCTAGTGAGAGATAAGATGTAAGAACTTCGCCAAAAATTTTTAAAAATCTTCTTGCTACAGTGAAGATACGAGTACTAACCCTGCAAGAATCATTTAAGAAAACTGCTGAAATGCTATATTTTGAAAACTACTGATTATACTACTAGAAGCGGACATTAATAGGAAGCTTTATTCATCTAAGCAACACTGACTATCCATATTAATTCCAGATTTCTCTTCTCTGTCTTCTTGCTGAAGTTTACGCCAGCAATTTTAGGAAAATTGGCAAACTTGCAAACAATAGGAACAGTATTATTGCTATGACACACAAGTTCTTGATTGTTTCTTGCGTTCAAAAAATATGCAAAACAATTTAAAAGCGACCTAATTAAATGAAAATATCTCAAATATATGGTTAAATAATTCACTTTTTAGTAATCAATATCTGGCCACCAGTGAACAAGCTTCAAATATTCCTACAGGCCTTTCATACTCCGCTGTAGTTTTTCTTCTAACAATGTAAGTCTTCATTCGACTAAATTTTCTTCTCTAACATGGCATTTAACTTAGTGCTTCTTACAGTTTAGTATTCATACAGCTGTAATTCGATTCAATTTTCATACTGTAACCGCATTACTTTAAATTCACTGTGGCTATTTGGTTGGCAGTGCAATATATTTGGCACTCAATTCAAAAGTTTGCACTTTCTCTTACTTGAGGCTACAATTTACGATCGAATAAATTATCAGGAAATTTCAATAATTTGCGATAAAGTCGAATTAATTGAATATTTCAGTGCAGCTATCTGATTTGAATTTGAATCACTTAATATAATAGCTCTGAGCAAAATTTTTAGTTAACAAAATAATAGAAAATTTAAATGGTTTATTATATATTTGTAGACTAAGTAGTAGATTTGTGTTTAGAACAGCATTCATATAATTTGAAATAATTTCAGGAGATATTTACCTAGCACAAACGACAATTTCATTTCGACTTAAAAGTAATGAAAAGCAATGTAACTGTGAGATTATCGCTAGATTGAAATTGTTTTCAGTGGCAGAAAAATATTTAATTTATTTAAGGTGCCGGCAGATTCCGAATTACAATTCAATTCCAACTAAGAAATAGTACACTTGCACGATATCCAACAGATGGTTCTAGTATCAAGTTATTACGAAAACCAATATATACGATTTAACATAATGTTATTTAAATCAGAGCTTATCGGAATAAAAAGAAATTTCAATCCAAAATATTTCATCTAAATTTCAGTCATAATTATTGTATAACCTAAACAAGTTGTATTAGGTTTGCCACCACAGAAGGAAGCCATATAGGTACATATAAAGCTGAGTCTGAGTCGACTTAGACAATTTCGTCTGTATATACCCGAATTAGTACCACTTATTGAGATATCAATCTGCAATCCTTATCGAACCACCATACGATATAACTGCCATACAAAGTGATCAATCAAAATGAAATATGAAAAACTTTTATTTTTATTTAAAAGATATATTTACGAAATTTATCAAAGAGTATGGTAGTTCCAGATCCGTTCGTTCCTTATGGCTATATTAATCGTAAACACCATATGGTGACCAAATAGAGCAAAGAAATTATATTATAATATGGTATTTCAGTCGGCGCATTGTTCTTGTACTTGAACTGCGTTAGAATTTTTCTTCTGGCGATGCGTCAAGTCAAGAGTATTTTCAGAGCTGTTGTAAGTATATACCTTTCATTCACTTTATGTTTGATTTCAAATAAAATTATTTCTAAAAGTAAAATTCCTCCAAAAACAACTATCCAAAGTGAGTAATCGTATCAATGAAATTCAGACGAAATTGTAAGTATGTATGTATATTTTGTTCAAACACTGTGTTTATTTTATTTATGCTGTTGAAATGCTTTATGTTATCAATATTCTTATTTTTTTTTTTGCATTTCCAAATATTTTATTTTCATATACTTGTATATACATAAAACCTATGTATATGCACTTGTTTGTAAATATTTGCCAAAATGCGCTTTAACTATTTTGTTATTTTGTTGTATTAACTGTACTGAATATGCATATGTATTTTTGTGCACTAATTGTATGCGATTCAGTCCAGCTGAGTTCTGTTGGCATTGGAAAAGTTATTTGATTTTTGTTTGTCTGGCTTAAGACATTGAATTTACAGAAACTGGGGTTTGATTACGTTTTCCTTAGCATTTATTTGATTTTTTTTTTTTTGTATTTTATTTTTTCAAACAGTAAACTGAACTTTGCTTTTCATTCGACTTGTTTTTACATTTACATGTAATCGCTATATGATATCTTAGTAACTTAATATACATAAATACCTAGTTGTATGTAGTCGCATTACTTAATTTGAGCAGGTATTGTAAGTCTTTCAGGTTTAAGAAATATTTGATAAAATTGCAGCCTGCAGAAAGCGGCATACACATGTCTAGCTTGAAATTTTTGTAATTTTCATTAAAAATGTTTTTTTGTTTTAGCGCCAGAGTTTTATGATATTCAGGTATAACTTGTATTATTTTACGCTGTACATTTTGTCAATTATTATTTTTTTTTTGTTAATATTTTTACTGAAGTAGAAAGCTTAGAGCAATAGTTTCACATTTATACAAACATACAGCCGCGAAGTTAAATTTATTTATATTTTATTTTATGTATTATTTTACAATACTTTATTTTATGCTCAACAAATTTATTTTTTTTCTCTTAGCAAAATATACATAAATTTATTATAGATTTTACACATATTCTAAGACTCTTATATTAATTATTTTGTGAGCAAGCATACCGATTGGCATAAAAAATCTAAAACAGTCATGAGCCTTTTTCAATTCTAAATTTATAAAGTTAAAATAAAAGGTATTGTAATTTACAAGTTTTATTTTCAGATTAGTAATCAAAAATTTATTTAAAATATTTTAAAATAATTCAGCCGACTACATAACAAGTGATTTTCATAATTTTTTGCAACAATAAAACTAGACTACGAGTACACACACAATGTAAATATGTTTTCAAGTATACAATAGGTTAACCAATATATTGATATAATTTTTTGCTCATATGTCTCTGTTTACAGTTATACTTCTTTTGAACTTTCTAGTGATATAATTTATTTGCTTATATGTATTAGCGAAGTTAGCGGCTATACAATACATTTATATAATTTACTCAAAAAATTAAAATATTTATAAAATAAATTTTGGATAAAAATTTATAAAGATAACAGCTGATAAAAATGTATGTCACATGTCACATATATACTTATTTTTTTACCTAAAATATATTTTATTTTATAATTAAATTTTATTTATATTTTCTTCTTAGCACTAATGAATTAATTTTTTCTTAAATATATTCTTGAGCTAAATATATTTTTATTTCACAAACATTTAAAAATCACATCGAGAAATTTCAACAAAAAATTCAACAAAATACAGTGTTTCATGCGTATATATTTAATACGTATGTATATTTTTTGTATATATAATATAAGTGTATGTGTCGAGTTTTTTTTTATTATATCTTTAATTTTATTCTGTTAAAAATATCTTCCTTTCTCTATGTATATGTTATAATCACTCACAGTTGCTTACTAGAAACTCACTCATTTTCATGTTCTCTTTAGCTGCTTTACAAACTAAACCAAAATGTTTTAATCTTTATGTTGCTTCCAAGTAAGGTACTCTCTAACGCTATTTTGCATATATCACAGAGAGTTCCATTAGATATTCAATTATGACAAATTTGAGTAGTCAAGTTCGGCGATTGCTCGGCAATTGAGTAAAATACTCTAAAATAACTTAAAACTTTTATGCACGATATTTAAAAGTAACTCAAAAAAAATATTGTAATTTCTCTATGATATCTTTCAAAAAGTTTAAGGAATAAAAATAACACGAGCCTCTGTAAGAGATAGCCTTAAGAACAAAACTGTTGTCCAAAAAGTTCAATTACAAGTCTCCAAAGTGCACTAGAATAATGTATGCCAGTATTCACTATACCCCGTTTTCGAAGAAAGTATCATTAAGAAACAATATTTAGAAAGTAATTTCTACCGAGAATTACTAAGAATTTTTGCGAAAAACCGAGGATATATTTTCACGGAATTTGGAACCTATTAATATACTGCATAACTTAGATAGAAGTAGCATTGACCATCACAAAGTGAATGAAATTATATTATATGCCTTACAAAGTCTTATATTAAAAGCTACAATTCTTTACAGATATATGAATTATACCTAAGCATATTAAAAATTATGTAGAACAAGATTGCCTTAGCAAAATACATTTTATTTTAACTTGATCCCTAACAAATATTCTGTGACTTATTATTTTCTAGTAGCTCTCTCAGCATTGCTAATTCTCTTGCTCGCTTATTAAAAATTCTATGCTCGTTCTTCCCTCTTAAACTATACATTTATTTGCAACATATGATTTCTTCTTCTCTTTTATCACTCATCTCACTTGTACCTATCTACAATTCTGTCTTTTTGTCAACTTTCGCACAGCACTCGGTTCATGAATTCTTATAAAACTAGCTAGATATGCTGCTATTACTACTACTCCGCTTCAAACGATTCCTCGCTTTCCAGGCGCTGTCGTTCAACTAATTGATGCTTGCGTCTCGCAGCGATCTCGTCGATGGCAATCCCTTCAATCCCTTCTCCAATTTGTCAGCATCACCAGCGGAAAAACGATAACTCGTATGACCATGTCCACCATTTGCACCCCCAGCACCACCGCCACTAACGCTCAATAGCGAACGATTCGCATTTAGACTATTGCGCTTACTCACCACTGCCGCCTCCGCTGCCGCGCTGACCACCGACACACAACTGGCACGCGATGAGCGTCTACTGGCGAGAAGTTCGAGATGTTCGTCGGCGGCGCCACCGCCGCTGTATGCGTAATGTGTGATAGATGTGGTTGTTGTTGCGCTAGCGGCGGTAATGATCTTTCCCGGCGGTGAGTCCTCTAGCGCCTCAGGTAAACGCTTATAGTCGCCACTTTGCGAACGATGCAGTTTCCAAGAAGAGCGCCGACTGCTGTTGTTACTGGGCGCGCTATTACCACCGCCGACACTGCCAGCTGGGCCACCACTAATCGGTCCATTGTGTCCAGTTGTGCCGGTAGTTGTTGTCGCAGGCGGACTGTTGCTGCTATTCGAATGTGTGGATGCATTACTTGAGAGACTGCTATTGCTGTTGCTATGGTGCTGACTGTAATTGGTGTTAGAGTTCCGCCGCGTCGTGCGGTGTGCTGGTTGTTGCTGAGTTTTGACAGGGCCGCCAATTCGATCTGCTTCGCTAACTAATTGAAAACTGGATGCCTGGTCGGCAGATGCCGGCGTCGCGGCAATGATTGTCGTCGCAGTTGTCGTAGCGGACGTATAGCGATGCTCGTAGCGTGAGGGTGGAGACTGTGGCATGAGCTGCGCTGATGTAACGGAATACTTGGGCAACTCTTGTTGCTCTTCAATGGGCTGTAGCAGAGCCTCCGTCGAGCGGCAACAATTATTACTTTTACTCACGGAATGTTTCATAATCCAACGATAATCATTGGAGTTCTCATCATCTATCACGGCATACGACTTATCGCTGCCGCAAAAGCTGTCGCCCAGCAAACGTTCATTGGAGCCGGTAACTGAGCAGGTACCTTCGGCAGGTGATATAACCTCTTCGATTGTATTCAATGGCGATACTTGTAGAGTCTGCTGTTGTTGTAGCAATTCAATTTCAGTCTTTATCGCCGGATCAATGCCCAGCAGGCCGAGCACCAAACGTGGATTGGCCAATACAAAACGTTCGAAAACGGGAAAGTCTATTTTATAGAAGTCGGTTTGTGTAGCGCGCGATATCTTTGGCACTTCTGGCGCAGCAGGCGAGTTTGTCTTGGCGCTGCCAGTAGCACTGATTCCGCCACCATCATCAACAGCAGCCACGCTCCCTTGCACTGCAGCACTGCCAACAAAAGGCAGTTGCATTTCACGCCCCCAGATTTCGGGAGGATGCGAGGACGAACGCTGTAGTGACATATCATCGTTGCTACTCGCCACAAAGTGCATAGTGCTGCCCATACCCACCGCGCCGCCAACAGTGCCACATATATTGGGTATAGAGCGCGCAGGTGGGAATTTCAAACTTGCCTGTGAGGCCATTGTCGAGAAGGTCATCTCCTGTAGCGCCTGTATGGCATTGCGCACTTCCAGACTCAGCTGCGCCACATCATTATGCAACGTCGACACCTGCGAGTCCAAGCGTTCCATCGAAGGTTTCTTCTTTATGCTGTGCACATCCTCATCCCCATCCGCGGCATTCATATCCTCATCCATGGAGCCGGTGTCCAAACTTGATGTTATATTTAATGAACGTTGACGTTCAACACGCTCACGCAAGGTTATCAGCGAACGTCCACGCGGATGTAATTTCATTAAACGTGGACTATTCAAACCCAGCAATGGTGAGCGACCATGCAATGGTGATGGTGTGGTAATGCTGTGATGTGGTGAGGCGTTCGCACCATTTTCATTGTCCTCATCGCCACCATCGCCGTCCTGCTGGTTCTCATCGTCTTCACTTATGCTCGGCAGTGGAAATGATGGTCCAATTTCTGAGTCCTGGCATTCATAACCTTCACGTAAGTTGAAAGTGAGATCATGTTGTATATCATTGGCGAACTGTTGTTGGTATTCCGGATAGAGACGCAATACCTCAACTAAGCCTCCCATATGTACGCACTTCAGATCGCAATAAGTGAGCGCCTAGTTAAGAGAGCACCAAATAATAGAGGCAAAGAGAAAAAGAAGAGCACACATTACATCAAGGAACATTCAAAAATTCAATGCGAATAAATGAATGAAAGTATAATTAGCGCATTGATGAAGGAACGAGTGATGCTTGAAGTGTGTGTGTGATGTAATAAAATGAATGATTAATTGGAAACACCTAATACTATAGTTTTATAAGTGTATTGAAATTCATTGGATAAGTAAGGAAAAATTAAATAAAATGGCGGAATACCAACGATCGTTAAACATTATGCATACTAAGTAGAGTACATATATGTATATATAGTGACAAATTTTTCTTTCAAAGGATTACATGCGACAAACAAGTTAATTGTATTCCAGTAAAAGGCGGATTACGTTCAATTACTCCTTTGCTTAAAAAGCTTTAAAGCACATAATTCTTCAAAGCTGTTGTTAAGAATTTCACTGTTCCAAAAAGAGAACACGCAACCATTAACTATGTGCTGACATGTGTGCTTATTTAGCGAATGGCTTACTGCTTCCCGACCAATATTATATCATATTATAGCACATTAAACGCCGCAATGCCAGGAAATTAATGTTCATCATACGACAATGTTCACTTCCTGCCATTTTCCGGCCTTTTAACATATAATTGGCTGTATGTATATACATTATATTAAATTGAGCTACAACGAAGATACAAAAAATTTAAACGAAAACTGCGCTACTGGATAAAATACCATCTTTGACATTTATTTTACGAAATATCTTTTATTTATGCAGAAGGAAATTTTTTGAGCATTGTGCAGCTATCCAAAAAACAAACGCGCTTCTCTGGAAAATAAGCGGCTTAGAGAATATTCGCTAAAATATCGAAACAAGACAAACTCGACTAATTTTTTTTTAACTAAATTTTCTATTGACTCAACTCAACTCAAAATTCATTTTTTTTATTTAATTATTAAAGGGAGTTGCCACATGATTTGAAAAAAGATCTTCAAAGTTGCAACAGAAATTTTTTAAGCAGAACAAAAACTCGTTGCCACTTGATTTACAATTAACTTTTTAGGGTTGCCACATAATTGAACTTTTTGAGAAAAAAACTACTTCAATAAATATAAAGTAATGAAATATGGTTGTAAACTGAAAATAACCAAAATATGCTAATATGGAGTTGCCACCTGATTATAAATAAAAAAAACAACCTAATTACAAAAAAAAATTTAAAACTTAAATAAAATACCAAAAGTCACTTTTTATTATGCGTTTAAAAGCTTTCAAAGGCTAGCACTTAAATAAAAGTAAGAACAGTTGACACACTTATCAAATATTATATAAATAATATAAAAAATTATCTCAATTTTTATTCCTTTTTTAATGGTAGAAAAACTTGAAATAACTATAAAATTTTTGCTAAATGACATTATGATGTTGCCATCTGGTTGTAAGAGATCAATATTTATATCATGTACAATATGTATTTATGCATAAATATTTAATGACTGCTTCAAAAGAATTTATTAAACCGCCAACATACAGAGATTAAACACATAATTATGAAGATTAAAATACAATTTTAAACCCTCATTATTATTTATTAACTATTAATTTCACTCACCTTCACATCACTGCTACTCCGCACCACCGCATCCTGCCCCGCACTGTTTGTTGTCGCTGTCATCTGGCCATTGGATGTGGCTACCAAATGAACGTTAATGTCAGAACCAACCAAATCGCCTTTGCCTGCGCCGTGAAAAAAGTGAAATTAAATGATATTTTATGCAGCGATTAATATTTTTCATGGACAGATAATAAGCAAAAGGGAACAAAGAGAAATTATATGCAAAAAAATACATTAATGAAAGCCTAAAAATCGAATTTTCACTTAACAAATGAAATATTTAAATTTGCTTTCACAATTACGATATTCAATATATTGGAGACAACTTTTATTATAAGCGTTACTTTTTATATAATTAAGGCATGTCACTCACCCAATATGGCCACCACCATATCGTCCTTGATGACCTCCATGGAACCATTACAAAGATAGTAGATGTAGTTCAGGGCATCGCCTTTGTGCATCAAAAACTCACCGGGTGCGCAAAAATTGGTTTTAATGTGTAGTGAAAGAAGTTTTCGGCAACCCTGCAAAAATAAATTACAACCAAATTATTACTTTTTTCGGTACTGAATAAGTCAAAACAAAATACGCTAGAATTTGATATGTTATCTAAAAATTTTAAAAGAACACTGAAAATCTAAGGTCGCCACAATATTACAACCACATCCACCAAGTGGCCAGCATGAAAGAGACATGCTTTTTTCGGACTCTAAAATTTGTTCTCAACATAAGATCTATTTTAATTTTTTATTCCCTGAAGGGGATACATTAAGTTTGCCACGAGGTTTGTAACATACCGTAGAAACGATCGGTGATCCTACAAATGAATATATATAAATGATCAGCATGACGAGCTGAGTCGATTTAGCCATGCCCGTTTGTCTGTCCTTTTGTCCTTCTGCGCACTAGTCCCACAGTTTTTGAGATATTGTTCTGAGTTCAAGCCCTTTTCTCCTCAGCTGCTCATTTGTCGGAACCGCCGATAACGGAATACTATATCATATAGCTGTCATACAAACTGACCGATAAAATGCAAGCCTTTGTATGGGAAACTCTTACATTAGTCAAGGTATCTTTACAAAATTTGGCAGAAATTCTTATCTAAGTCATCGCGAAAATCTGCAAACAAATTTTTCAGATTGGGCCACCATAGCCTATAGCTGATATACAAGCTGAACAATCGAAATCAAGTAATTATATGAAAAACTTTTTTAGTTGACGAAATACCTTCAAGAAATTTGGCATGGATTATTGCTTAAGGCAACGGTACAATCTTCAAAGAAATTGTTAAGGTGGGATCACTGTGGCATATACATTTTTTTATTTGTGAAGGGTATTCTAGTTACGTTGGAAACAAAGTAAACGTTTTTATTTTTTCCAATTTCAAGTCGATTACATTTTCTTTAGACAACCGAATTCGCCCAAATGAATCTGATCCTGTGTCTACAGCATCTTAGAAGCATCATGACAAATCAGATAAAATGCTGTGAGATCAACAAACAAAAATATGCTAACAATGTTTTCACCAATTTTGTAACAACTGAAATTTATGATATAACACTAACCTCAGCTACTTGCCACATGTGTTGCATGCAAAATTCCCAACTGCAACAGTACTTCAGAAGCACATGTGCAACAATAAATTCACCGTTATTAAGAAAATACAGTTTCGTGTCTGTCAAAACTTAACATTGCTTTTAAAAAATGTCTTAAAAATATTATGGCCGCACATGCATTGCCCACTCTGCCCTTGCTGCTGGCAATGTCCTTGTGCAGCAATCCCTCAAGTTGCCACATTTATTTAGTACACGCATTTAGCGTGCACATTGAGTGATCCTCAATTGTTGCTTACCTTTTACTTACTTTTGCACGCAAATTACGCGCTTGAATTGTTGTTGCCCTTCCCGTCTGCTCACCTATTTGTTGCACGCTTTCTTTTGTTGGCATGCGACTTTTTATGTTGCAAAGTATCCACCACTTAGCAATCCATTTTTCGAGCACTTTTGCACTTGTAAAAGTCAGTATATCATAAACATACTATTGCTTTTGTTGTTATTGTTGTTGGCTTTTCATGCTTTATGCTCGTAATGTTTTCGGCTTTTTGTTTAGTTTTTCTTTGCCTCTCATATTTCATTTCTTTCATTTTTGAAAGCAATCATAGAGAGTAATGCACTCGTCCTTGTTAAGGGTTTGGGTCTATTACACAACAACAACACATATATATATATATAGGTATAGTAAAGAGTTGGTGACTGTTGCTCTTTGTAAACGCTGGTAAGCATTTGTATCCATAAGTGGTTTAAAAAATTCTCTCTAGACTGCGTTTTCAGTTAAATTGTGTGGATAAGAAAGGTAGATATTTGGCTGCTTAAAGCCACACATGAGAAAATAAAGTACCGGCAAGTAATTTGTCTCTAGAAAAATTCTCTAAAAAACTTCAAAAACCGCTGAGCTACTGTAAAGGTGCCTTAACTACAGGCCAGTAGCCGAAGTTAGCGAACAGTATTGAATTCTATAAAAATTATGCTCTTGTAGCTGGGGTCACTATCCCATGGATGTTCGAATAGGTCGATTTCTTATAAACCCCAACCTAAGTCGGTGCTTCATTAAAAGCACGTCCTTTTCAAATTTATAGTTTGAATGTCTGAGTTCGCATTTATTTAGTATACCCAAGAATATTTCAAAGAAGAATTTTTTTCCGAATATATCGAAAATCTGCAGCTTCCTGTGATTTTCAAACTTATTAACACATGCTTATAGTATCACTCTTTTCCATTTTCGGAAAAAATTGTTCAGATCGGATCACTATAGCATATAGCTGCCTAATAAACTGAACGAGCAAAATCAAGTGCTTGTATGGAAAACTCTTTCATTTGACGAGATATTTACAAGAAATTTGGCATAGATTATTATTTAAAACAATAACGAAATCTTCGAACAAATTGTATAGATCGGATGACTATAGCATTTAGCTGTCATATTAACTGAACGATCGGAATCTAGTTCTTACAAGTAACCTTTTGAATTTGCGATGGATGTTATAATGTCGGCGGCAACTAAAATGCCTCTTAAAAAACATGAAAAGCGGCGTTTTTCCAACATGCCAATCTGTATGACCCCTTAAATATAGCAGGCATGAGAACAGCCTGAAAAATACCAATTTTTAATACAATATTTCTGCTAAGATGAAAATATTTGTTAAAGCCATACAACAGCATTTCTTCTGTCACCTCACAAAAGAGTAGAAGTGCTTAGAAAAAAAATTTTAGGCATATTTAAGCCTGTCAAATCGGTTCAAAAATTATTCGTGCCGTTTTTAATGTTACTAAAGATTATATTTTTCATATACGAGGTAATGCGATTTGACTCCAACTGTGCAAAAATACAACGTATTTCTCAATGTTAAAAATGTTGGGACCGTTGTCATAAGATTAACATCTATGAGACTTGCAAATTCGACTAATGTGTTTTGAGAAACTTTTGTTATAAATAAGGTATTGCATACAATTAGGCGCATTTTGTATTTTTGCCATGTCATATACTTTTGAAATATATTCATAATTTTTTTAACATACCTACTTATAGCGGTTTGCACTCTTTACATGCGCTTTTCAGAGAGAGAATATTGAGTAAACTTAAAATCACACAAAATGTTTATGTAAAGAAATTTAAAGAGAATTTCTGAGCTTATTTAATCTTTTAATTTAAGCATTTCCCTAGCCTTTTGGAATTTTCAAAATATTAACTTGAGATCTTATTCATAAGCTCTTCAGCTGTTCAGTTAGCTTATATAATAACAATACCCTAATAAACCCAACTAAGTCTAAAATTCAAATTTATTACCAAATATTTGTGTATGTAAATACCATATAAGAGTACTTTATGTTATTATAAACCTATGCAAAATTTATAGTAAGCCCTTTTTTTGCATTTCTTTGAAATATCTGTCTAATATAAACACAAACATTGGTGTATACAAAATAGCACGTGATATAAATTTCCAAGTTTACAAATTTATTTTCACCTCCTACAACATACAGGCGAATTTCAAAGGCAACGACAACACAGCCTTTTCACGCCTTACATGTGTTTGTCTTGTATTCGAATTGCTCACATTTTCACAAAATATTTCAATGTTTTTATTATTTTTTAACTGCCTCAACTCGGCGTGTTGAATATGTTGAGCGAAAAGGCTTCTCGTCGCCTTTATGTCGCTCACACCTGGGCACTTAAACGTAAACAACATTCATGCAACAAGCTTGAGAGGCACAAAATGACGCCGAAGCTGGAGAAATTTCCATTGAAATTGTTGGCAAATCGCAAAATAACAAAAAATTTATTGATTCTTAGAAATATTACCTGTGAAGCGGCTTCGAATATCGGCAATTGCAGAATCTCACGGTGTAAATGCATGGACACATCGCCGCGTAGTTCCTCCGGAAATTCGCGCAACGTCTGAAATTATTGACACAAACACTGATATATTAAACTGTGAAATAGAAATAGTAAATAAAAATAAATAAGGTGAATGTAAAATGTGTAAGCTAGCTTTGTTTGTAACTGCCTATCGCTTGGTTTTTATTCGAGGTATAAATATGTACAATATATTTTATTTTAATATATAATATATATAATATATGTATAGATAATTGCCACAAAGTCAAGAAGCACATATTTGCTATAACGACACATACATACACATGGATAACTTTTCATCGCAACACAACTTTTGCCACCGCCAGCTGTTTAACACATTTGTCACCACAACTGACAGACAGGCTTACTGACAGATGTTGACACACACACATATACATATATATATACGTGTACTGCTGCTGCGCTGATCTGCTTGACAAGTATGCTATGTTTTCCCTAAACAACTTGTCTCTCTCATTGCTTGGCAACACAAAAAGCATTTGATTAAATTGCTTTTGTGGATTAACTATGGGAAATGAGACCAATTTGCTGCGGCTTTTGTGAGCATATTTTCTAGTTAACATATTGCAAGCGTGTTATAATTTAAAATATTTTTATTTTCCGTAATAACATTTCAATTGATTGGAGTTGCTGCAACTACTTTCTGCTTCATATTTCTAAAGTATATACATTAAGACCAGAAAGTTACTGAAATTGTTGGTCCACAATTCCGTCCGTTTACGACGGATGCTTTCGCGCAAACGTCGCTGGTCTTCTGGTACAACATGTTGCTACAGAGTATATTGAACGATTTTAAGACCAAACATTCGTGCAATACCACCAATCAACCACTGTATTAATCAAGCTTGGCCCATGCGACATTTTTTTGTTTCCAACACTAAAGTTACACTCCGTGGAACTGAAGGCGATCTTGGACCTACAACACATGTTTCGATTATTGGAAAAAGAAGTAGCATATGTATATCGCTACAGAAAGAGCATATTTTGAGGGCGATAAAGCAAATATTGATGAAGAGTAAACATTTTTCGTTTTATTTACAACTTGCGGAAACTTTCTGACCTTCATGTAAGGCTATATTTAGTAAAGCTATCTTAAATATATAATAATTAGTTTGCTTGTAACTTTGTGTTTTTTTAGCCAAACTACTGTCATAAGTTTAATAAAAAATTTGGGAGAAGTGATTCAAGAAACGTCTCTATCGAGAGTCGAAAATTTTAAGGGTCACATGAAATTCGCTGAATGTGGCGAGTTAGTATAAAATCTGTTGATTAGACAACTGATGGTCATAAGCAAAGACCAGAGAGTCGTTTATTGGTGCAATACTGAAACTGCAAAAAAAATTATAAAATTACGGGCCAAAAATGCACTAAAATAGAAGAGAAAATAAAACACTTTAAAGTGGGTCAGAAATCATATATTAGGCTGTAACAGCGCTAATGCACCCGTAAAGTTTGTTGAACTACAAATCCGTTGGGATAATTAAAGGGTCGATAGGATCTACTGATTATTTTGAGTCAGCTACATACATAAAGCATTTTCGCATCAACTGTTGGCTTTCGGAGGAAACTCAAGAATGCTTGATCGCAAAAAATACCCTCGCGTTCGAGCCTAATAAGGTAAGATTTTCTAGGTCGATATCAAAGCTCAGATACCTGGTGAATAAGATTGGGATATTTTGGATCTCTTTCCGGTTTCTTAAATTCAAATATTGATTACAAGGAAACGGTACTAAGTCTACTGGTACACTAATTATATCATTGAAGGCATCAAAAGGTGGTCTACTCGATAGAAATATAGGTACAATCAAGTTGGCGGAATTTTTAAAACAATCACAAGCAGTGACATTTAGAAAAGGTAGTTTTTATACACTAAGAAATATCGACCAACATTGCAATAACCAAACCAAGAAAAATGTGTGCAGGAAATTAAGTCGAAGAGTGGGCGAGTCAAATATTAAATAAGAAAAAACATTAGCTTCGTTTACACCGAAGCTATAATACCTTTCACAAATGCAAAAGATTATTTACAAGAACTTGATTCCGATCGGTCGGTTTTTAAGGCAGCTATATGCTATAGTGACTCGATCTGAACAATTTATTTGAAGATTGCATTGTTGCCTTAGGTAATAACCCATGTCAAATTTCGTGAAGATATTTTGTCACATGAAAAAGCTTTCCATACAACCACTTAATTTAAGTTTTATTGTTTCAAGACTTTTTTATTTTACAAAAAAAACATTAAAAATATTCACTCACATTAACAATAAAATTTAGGCAGCGTAGGATTGTTTAATATTTTTGTATATTTAATTATTTGAACAGGTGGCAACATGCGTATAATATGTCATACTGTATGTAATATTTATTATTACAATTTAATAGAGCGTTTTTTTTTAATATTTTCATTTATTTTACCAATTTTGCTTATAAAATTCGAACATAAGGCAACTCTATTCAAAAGTATTTTCAACTTTAATGTAATTTAAATAAAATTGTGTTCTTCGTTTATCTAAATAAAAAAATGCACGGCATTAAAACTTTTTAACAGATGGCAACTTTTGTTAAAAAACATTTTGAATACTGATATTTCTTAAATGATTTGACGATGAATACTTGCTTCGTGCTTCATTGTTTTATAAATTGTTTGTTTAAATTTTTTGAGTATGTGGCAACCTTCCAAATTGCGGAAAGAATTTTCATTTAAAAAATGTTTAACTTTTGTTTTCTTATTCAAACAGTTTTTCTGTAATACTTTTAGAAAACCTAACCAAAATTAACGAAGCTTTCCTGTAAAGCTTCGTTAAGTGTACTATTTATATTTGAGATAAACTCAAAGCAAGCCAATAAAGTACTTTTTTGCTAGCTAAGACTGTCGCTTGCATTTCTTTATATTTGATTATATTATTAAACCATAAAAATTGGAAATCAACCTATGCTAATTTGGTTATATATTACATTGCTTTGTCTAGACTATCATATACCCACTCATCGGCTCACTCAACCTTTTTTAACTTTTAATTTTGATTATTTCTTTATCATTCAAATTGCATTTCAAAATCAAAGTCTCAATCTGTTTTTTGAATATAACATTTCATCATCAGTTCAAGCGAAGCGTTACCATTGATTTAATATTTTACACATCAGTGAAGGTGACAGCATAAGTGTTGATGATTGCACACACACATACGTAAACATACGACACTTTTCACTTTTATGACGCCGACTATGCAACACTGATTATCATCACCTTTCTGCCTTCAACTTTGTAAAAGCAAAGCAAAAGCAAACTCATTACATAATGCCTCCACATAGAGACATTGTTTCGTCATCTCAGTGCAAAACGGAGGCAAACGAAGACGAATATCAATGCTAGTAAATATGTATACCAGTCGAACCTTGTTCGTAGCCGCGGCATAAGTGGAAATTCCGTTATAGAAATACGAACAGGAAAGACACTTCCGTGCAGGCAGCTAACAATCAACAGCAAAAGAGAGTATTTTCACTTTTGTACTTTGCGCATTTACGGAATATATGTGTAAAAATAAAATTGCCAATATAGTCGCTGTGTTATTGCCACCAATTTTATGCTAATGGCATACGTATACAATGTGCCACTTTGATGCAAGAGAAAATACGCTGTTGAATGGCAAATCAAATTTTCCAGCAATTCGCTCTTGAAATACGCATTTTTGTATATGAAGCGAATTATTGCGTATACGCCATGGCATTCAATTGCAGCCGTCAAAAGTGTTGCATGCAACAAATAACCCTTGCTGAAATATATTAAAAGTTATGAAATTTCATTTTGAGTGGCGATCTCTGAAAATACTTTTAGCGTGGTATTAGAAATTTCGGAAAATTGTTTAGTATTGGCTTCAAACGAGGTTATGTAAGTTGAAAATTATTTATTTGAAAGAGATTTATTAGAGCACATAGAAAACGGTGAACTGATGTGAATATCTTGAACTTTTTGTTTTTTCGATTTACAATAATAATAGTACAGCAGAGAACAAAAAAGTTTACGAGGATGCCACTTGTTTTAAAACATTTTAAATTATCGTTAATTTATAGATTTATGAATATTTATTTAACTATCATGTGGAAGCTGTATTAGAAGTATTATGCGGAAAATATTTTGCTAGGTTGCCACCTATTAAAATTTTTAATTGAATAAAGGTTAAATATATATTTAAGAAGATTTGTACTCGAAAATTGTTTTGGAAAGAGCTAACATATTTTTAAAATTAGCTGAGCAATCAAATTGATCAAATAAATTTATTAAAACAGTCAGAAACATTTTTAATAATGGTTGCCATTAGATTATTAAAAATGTAATTTAAACAAATTGATAAAGAGTTACGATAATAGGTCAATAAAACCAAAGAAGGATTAAAATATAATAATTTTGAAAAACGTTGTTACTCATAAAAGAAATTAAATTTATATTCTAAATACCTCTGTTAAGTGTTACCAACTGTTTTATCTGTTAAATATTTTTAGTTTAGACAAATAAAATATAAATTAGCGAATTATTAAATTGGGCGAATCAAGCCAAAAAGAGGTTACCAAAGGCCAACAGTTTACTAAAATAGTGATAAGAGTTGCCACATGCGCTATTCAATAAATTTTTTTAAATAAATTTAATGTTATAGTTATTAAACAAAAAAAATTGTTAAATGTATATTTCGGATCTTTTTTGAGAGTTGCCACCTGTTTTTTTATTTTTCAGAAAAATTGAATAAATTTCGAATTAGCACAATATGCAGAGCAAACTAAAGAAAGCCCTAATTTGTATTTAATATTGAGAAGGGCTGCCATCTACTCCTAATGAATTAAATTTTTAAAATTAAATATATGTTACAATTACAAAATTAAACAATAGATAAACAAAATGTATATATTTTTACAGAGTTGCCACCGGTATGAAAATTAAAATTCAAATATATTGATGATAAACGTATTTGAGAATATTTCTATCACAGCGGGGAAACTGCAAAAAATTTAAAATATTTCCATTAACATCTGCAGTTTAGGCTCCATTACATCTTTATATACCGAAAAGCATAAACAACCAATAAAATTGTAAATTACAACATAAAACCACTGAAACCATAAAAAATCTGTTACTTACGTATCTAAAAATAAATTTCAACTCTCACTAGTTGCACTAAATGTGTTCAACTTTTACTTCAAACGAAATACAAAAAAAAGTAATAATAACTAAACCAGGGCACAGTAAAAGTTCGGAAACTAAAAAATAGTATACAATAACATTTAATATTCAGCATCATAAAAGACACACGCATATCTACTCTTTCCTACTCAGCAGTGCGATTGTGGTAGAGGTTACTTGTATCAACAACCAATGACCCAGTTAATTTGCTGGAAAATATTGCTTTTACATACAAACACACACACACTCAAACCCAAAATAAGTGTACACACATACACGGAGATTTTGTTTATTTATGCGCAATCCAAACTTGGTAATTTCCGTCGCCTGTTGCTTACATAATAACTCACACAAATTGTATATATTAACATATATTTACCGCAAAAAGGAGGTGCACCCTTATATGTATGTATATATGTCTGTGCACGTGTGTGGATGTAATAAGTAAGTACGTACTTGTCGAGCTACCACTACAATGCAGACAAAATTCATTTATATTTTCCGCAAAAGCAAAAAGATAGCGGAGGAGAGAAGTGTGCTTGTGAACGCCTGCAGATGTGTGAGGTTACCAGATTCTTAGTGGATGTGGGGCGTGAAATGACAATGCTTTTTAGAACTAAATTAATTTATTGTGGATCTTTAGTTGCTTATCCCCAAATTGGTTGCTATAGACAACAAAGGGACAATCGTAGCACTAAAGGTGGTTGACCATTTTGCTTTGCACTTGCAGCGCTTACAGGAAGCATACACACATCCACATTTTTTTGGGTTTATTATTAGTTAGAAAAAGATATTTATGTGATTATTGTAATATTGTTATGTTAAGCGCCTTAAAATATGCATTGCTTTAATCAAATGTGGTAGGCAAAATGCTGCTGGAGGGTTGAGTTATAATACAGCATATTAACTATAAACATAGTAAATGGGAAGGTGTATCTAAGTGTAAGAAAAACATGAGTGGCAATAAATGTTTAAAATTAAAAATTGGAACACAGTTATATGTAGTTATGGTTGAATGCTTGCCTTCGAGCACATATTTTAACATAAAGCAAGAGTTATGAAGAAAAAATCCAAAACGATCATATATCACTTAAACCAGCCAGTAAGTGAGATTTCAATTTGTCAGAGATTCTATGGAAACATTTTGTGCTTCTTCTATTTCAACTCTATTCTACAGTGATTGCGGCAACTATCGTTGAACTTCGGTTGTTAATATCTCTTGATGTGGACTCTAAGAGAAATACACCTTAGAACATTTATTCATTTCCAGAAATTTAATCTATAATATTATTTATGCTTTCATTACTCTCTCATGGAGTTATAGATTAGGTTAGCCACGTTTCCTTTTTATTCAGCTACAACAACTGATTTCGGACGACCTTCAAAAAATTTGTGTTAGAGTGATCTACAACCTCGATTGAATTCATTATACCATCGATAAACACTGGTGTTTGAAGGAGCGTCATCGCCAAAAATTTAATTAAGTCAATCGATGCACTGTTGCTGAGTTATTCCTCGCCGAAAGTTGTAAAAAATATGTTAATCGCGCTAAAATATTCGCGATTTAATGTCATTTTTTGGCCGAGATGAATATTTTAAGTTACTGGTAGCAACACAAATAGCGCTCGTATATCAAAACACTCTTAGTATGTATAACATCAAAAGTGTCAAACTTTACGGTAAAGTCGTGAGTTACCAATACCGAAATATAAATGGCAACCTACGATTCAGTTCGTACTATACGCAATGAGCATATTCTACATTCTGAACATTGCTACGGGTTAAAGTTAAGGAATAACCATTTTTTTTGGATTAGCTATAAAACTGTTAATATAATACGTATTTATGGTTAATAACACATAAGTGGATTGGAATAAAAATATCTTTGGTAATTGGTAACGAATTTTTTCCTGGGTATTGAACTAAACCTATTTTTTCGATTTTTCGGTGAAGTTTATAAAAACAGTTATACTAAAACACGGAATAATAATTTTTACTTAGGACTCAATCTCTCAAAGAATTAGTTTACTCCAAAACCAACTGCTGATTTTCGTTTGGCTTGTGAAAACATAACCGTAACATATATTCGAAGACTGTTTTTACATCAGTCTTTAATTCATCTCACTATTTCTATCAAACCAATTAGATTAAGAATCATTCAATTCTACCAAGTTTAACACTTTGAAACTTAAATTAACAACTTGAAAACTTAAATTACGAATAATTATTTTCTTGAACACTTCCCAGCAAAAATTTTTTAGAGTACATTAACCTGCCTGACTTAATTCTTATTTAAACACTTCACGTTTCATATTTACATGTTTTATTATTTCCAGATTTTTTTTTTTTTTAAACCGATCGTTATGGCCATATAGTACCAACTTTACACTTTGTTGTGGCCAGTCATGCATAACAGAGAATAGAAAATTTCTCATTTGCCAAATTTTTTCTTTTTTATGTATAAAGTATCAGTTCAAATAAAATTCACTAAAATTTCTTGTTGCCTACATTTAAAGCTACCCCAAATTCTTGGTGCTCAAATTTATTTCGCATGCGGAAAATTTATGATGTAAACGACCTTTTTCATCCAACATTCCATAATAAATCATAACTCTTTTGTAGCGTGAAGAAAATGACTGGCAAAAAGTAAACAGCAAGCAAGAGCATTCATTTACAACTGGCAAGTCTAACGCAACCCGACATTCTCAAATGCCAGAAAAGGCTAGTGACACATTCAATTCCTTTGTTAGACTCGCCATGGCATTCTTAGCCGCTGTCAGACACTCAAAACTAAAATATACTTAAATACGGTATATGAAAGGACACAACAACAGAAACCCGCATCATTTACACTTTATGCAAATGTCAGCAAACTCGTCCGCATACGCACACACACACTTCCATGCAAATGGAACAAAATGGGATAGATGAAATGGGTGCAATTGCCTACTTTTGTGAGCGCTGAAAAACTAGGCAGCAATAAAAAGGTAGCAACAAAAAGCGTAACACAAGCAATCGCTGGCAAAAAAGTATATTTTCGCATTACAACTCGCTTATGCTTTGCTTAGCCGCATTGACTTGAAGCCGAGCGTGAACCGCAGACAATATGCACTTTTTGTTTCTAGAAACGTGCATTTGTGTGTATGTGTGTGTAGCCGCCATTTGTGTTGGCACTTTTGTGGCTGTCTGCCGCAAATATTTTTACATTAACCACGGCACTTACTAACTTAATACTTTTGTTGTTTTTTGTGTGGGTTTGTGTAAAATAGCATTGGGGCTAGGCAGTAAAATAGTAGAGTTATACTTACTCTATATGCATTAGTGTGTACTTACCTCGTAAATATCAATGCCATGGTTGAGCGACCACGATGTCTGAAAGTAATCTTCAATCCTTTGTTTCAGTTCTTTGGGCATCTATGTGTATGTTGTCGAGCGAAGAAATACATTTTTTCGTGAAAAGCATGAGAAAAGAGAGATACAATTTTATTGCATTCTACGCATATATAATTAAGGTATGATATATAATAACTATACATATAAGACTTTCATAAACGATCAATCTACTCAGTATCTTAATAAGCTGTCGATAGATGGCGCTGTCATTAATTTTTTTTTATAAAAGTAGTTTTCTATATACCATGCGTTGACATTTAAAAAAAATTTCATTTCAATAAAAAGTCTGTAATATACATATATAAAAAATGATTGAACCGAGTTCATGATTTCACATTGCCACTAGGTGGCGATGAGCAAATTTAGCTATACATATTTTGACAGCTAAAAAATTGGTTTAAACACAATTCATGAATTTATCAATAAATATCGTCATAAACTTGCCGGATTCCTAGCACTTAACTGGTTCCGGGCCACTCAGCCTTGTAGTATTGATTAACAAAAGACCTTCTTAGAGGTACAAAATTTTCTGGATAGATAACCGTTAAGCAAATACTTGGGGTTGACATTTATGAAACATAATTTAGTAGTTTCTCGAGAATCCATTGTATCCAAAAATTGGTATGATTTCTAACCCGAAGGCTATATTGCTTCATACTTTCAAAAACTCAATATTGAGGCCAAGGTTTCTATCAGTGGAGCCCCTTGCAGGTAAATTTTTTCGCGAATTCATCATACAGCTAACTGTTGTATGTAATTCCCTCTAGCAAAAGGATGATGACACAAGCCACAGAAATATTTGAATCATCACGTTACTGCAACGAATATTCCATAGTCGGGAAAGTCGAATTTTGAACTGATCAGTTGTATTCGAAGCCCAGGTATCTAGTACACAATGAAAGGACGGGTGGAAACTCGAACTGGTAGACCGATGTATAACCAGATAAATGAATGGACGGATGAAAAAATTGTCGGATAGTTAGAAAAACGACTGGTTGGATGGCAGATGAAGTGCCAGACCGAGGTGACTAGCGTAAGGATGGACAAGTATACAGATGGACAAACGAGTAAGCGGATAGACAGATTTTGGAGATATGAGTACAATAACAGATGGATGGATACACAGATTTTCGGTTGAAAAGATAAACAAATGGATAGATGGCCAGAAGGATATTAGGATATAAGGACAGATATATAAAATTTATTTGTGTTTTCTCTCGTAAACCTCTCCTGCATCTTTTTCAGCTATCAGTAGAAAACTCACGCAGCCAGTGCTCCAATTACCCGCTAACATGCAAAATTGTTGCTCGTGGAAGTGTGTAAGCTTGTAAGCGTAGTGCGTCAAATACGCTACACGTGCCGGATACTTTGTAAATTATCAAGTTCGCTCTTGTTGTATTCCAAACCTCAAATGCGTGAGACACGTGCCGTTGACGATTGGCGCGCTCACAACTACAAAACTTCCACTGCGTGATGGATCTAATCATTTGTGCATTAGTTTCTGCAATTGGCAATGGAAATAAATACAAACTTTGACTGCACTCTTTTTATGACAAAAGTCGTCAGTGTGTACCTGAAATGGCTTGGAAAACCTTAACTGTCCTCATATCACTCAATTCTGGGGGCAAATAATACTACAATTAATTTATTTAGCTCTCTGAGACCTTTAAAGTGTTTTCCTTTTTCAAGTTTATGGTAGTAAATGTGCCCTCCTTAACATCCGAATTAAGTGCTTAAGGTATACGTATATCAAAACATTGTCCCGTTATCGCTCAGTGCCAACTAACTTTGTTCGAGAGTCTCTGCCACCAGCTGTTGCTGACAAGTTGCACGCTTATCTTTGCACTGCTCACATGATGTCCTTCAGGTGGTACTTTGCAATTTCCACATCATTTCTTGTTATTTTATGTCTGTATATATATGTGTGAGAATGTGTGCTTAGAGGACTCAGGACCCATACGTTTGGTAACTAACGTTAAACTGTGTTTTTGCCCGCCACGACTTGGGAAATGCAGCAATAAAAACAAATTGGTGCGGCTGATAGGTGCTTGCGCCGTTTGCTTACTTGATAAAATGCTCCGTTGCAGGGCAATCGCTTCAATATCACACGTTCGAGCAGCAGACAGTCAGTTAAGTGAGTCAATATTCATATGGGTTACTGGCGTTGAGCAACAGCGCGTATTATGCCCTTTATACAATATTTACCTAGATATCTATGCAGGCAGGAGTACACCTACATACATGCACATAAATATATTCGCTCGCATGTCTATCCGCAGAATATTACTCTTTCTGCCACCGTGCAGAATTCTGTTGGTCCATCTGAGTTTACCATTGCATCCTTGCAACGATAAGCAATTTAATTTTACTTCGATTATCGATAGACTTATGTAAAAAATAGCCAAACAGCAACAAAAACAATAACAAGTAAACATGTGTGGTAGTTATGCCAAGAGTTTTCGACGCGCTGACGCAATAAACATTGAAATAACGGCATGAATGCACCTATATATATATGTGATTATCTGCACATAAGGGTGGGCCGCAAATTGGAATGGTTATTTATACACCATTTTTCTTTAAAACGTTAGACCTATATGTAGTAAGACTAAGTCGAAACTATGCTTCATATATAATAGTATACATGCGATCAATTTTGATCCGGACTGACAAGAAGAAAAATCTTTATTATTGCCTTCTAAATAGGCTCCTGGCCCAGTACAAGCATGCCAATGCTCATTAAGAAAGGAAGTTGCATGACTCGCATGAAGAAAGTTTTCGATGAATTCCCGATCTTCACTGAACGCTTTGTGCAACACAAATACTTGTGTCATAATTAGATATGGAGATTAAACTTCACACGATAAAATAAAGTATTGAGCCAAAATAGGCAAAAATTTTGTATAGTTCCGGTTTCCGCGTGCAACTTATATGGGTACGTGTCAAATTTGATCAAATGATATATTCGACAATGGTTGTAACTTCTCATAACAAATACCTTCTCATAACAAATGCTGGAATTTCGCATTTGTAAATCTTCTATATCATAAAACCATCTAATAGGACTCAGGAAAATATTATATTTTGTTCTCTTTATTATATTCATATGAAGTATAAATGTATTTCTATATTCTTGACCCTTGTCATAATAATACCAAGTCTCCGAAAATATGAGTTCGAGTGTGTTTGTGGCAATCTTATATTCAAATAATAGTAACAACATAAGGATGATCAACATCGATCATGAGGATATTTTGAACAGTGGAAATCCGCGTTACGTATTTTTTATTAAAACGTTTTAGTACACAGTTACCTTACCTTACCCTTATTTTGGTAAAAGTAACTAAGAGCCTAAAACTAATATTTCTTTCATCTGAGAGTTAAAAGCACACTTCCAACTTTACAGATAGATACTAAGCATCTAAATACGTATTCCTAAACTTTTAAATCGAATTGCGTTAGTATTTATCTTAGCAAGTATATGCTAATTATAATTATTAAATCAAAAGTCGCACCCTCATTTAAAAATCTATAGTATATTCAACACGCGCCGTAATCATTATGCGTTCAAGTGTTTTTGTCAAGCCGCTGTAGTTATTGTGCTCGACCACAGACATGACAGCATAAAATACGTACAATAATAAAAATAAATATGCTTACGAGTGGCATTTACAACAATAACAAAAATAGTTGAACTGTCACGTATGCAAAACTGAATCTGGTGCCATTTACCGCTATTCTGTTTTTAAACTTTCGCATGGCAAATTGCTCACTAGTATACAAACACCTAGAAATACAACTATTATTATGACAGCCATATTTATTTCCAAATTTCAACGGTACTTTACTCAAAATTTGTTGACTCTAACTTAATTTTTAAGCTAGTGCATATTTTTGTACATACATATGTATTTTTGAAAATATGTCTGGTATATACATAGTTAGTGCTTCAATTTGGTGGAATGTATTTGAAGTTAAATAAATACCTAATTAAAATTTGTATAAATACTGCCTGCAAGTTTTGCAAAAATACAGAATTATTTGTATGCAATAGAGCTAGTCACAAACTGATTAACGGAATTACCGACACCGAAGCTATAATACCCTTCACATGATCATTTCCTATAACATAAAAGGGTATAAAAATATCTGTATCTTTATTTTGATCGATCAGTTTATATGGCAGCTATATGCTGTAGTGCTCCGATATCTACAGTTCCGACCGATGAGCAGCTTCTTAGGAATAAAATCACGTGTGCAAAAGCTTCAGATCGATAACTCAAAAAACTGGGGGACTGATTCGCATATTTACAGAAATATGATCAGACGGACATAACAAAATCGAATCGGATTGTCATGCACATATATGATACACTTTATAGAGTCTCCAACGTTTCTTTTTGGGTATTTTAAATTTCTTGGCAAACATAATATACCTTGATCAGGGCAAAAATAAAATAATTCATGAATCTACATATAGTACTCAAATGTATAAAGACTTTCACCAAAATAAAAAAATGTCTCTTAACTCTCTATTGAATAAATGGAAAGTTAATATTTTTTAAAATATAAATCTTACAATATATGAAACTATAGATCTACGGTAACTGAAATAAGAAACAGAAGTTTAAGACTTGATATCCTCTAACTATCTGGAAAATACCGCGACAATGGTGGTCCCATATTTTATTGTGGATTCTTGTGGATCATTATTAATTTTCAAATTCATTTTTTCCGAAAGAAAAGACGCGAAAATTCATCCGCTCTGATTTGTTATCAGCGAAGTTGATGTTGCAATATCCAACCAAGTGGAAATTTCTTACCATTGATAATCCGATTGAAATACCTGATTGCAATTGTATTGTTTAATTCCAATGAAATACGGTGCCAAAAGTGGTGTAGCTATTTGCCAAAATAATAATAATGTTACTAATATTATGATTCCGGATATTAAATAATTGATTTTTTATTAATTAAATTTATATTAAATTCCATATTTTTATTTGCTATTAAAAAAAATTGTACCTTAAATATTATTATTTTTGAATCACAGTGCTCTGTCTCTTTGAAGTGATTTTAGTTATTATGTAAGAAGAGTTTTCTACGAAAACAAAAATAAAAGTTAAATTTGCTGCGGATAAGGCTGAAGAACATTCATAGGTGTATATGTAAATATATGCAAATGACTGTTTCATTTTCTACGCGTTGACAAAAAGTACATTAATATTTTTGTACTGAATATACACACATATATAATAATTCAAATCACGCCGTCGAACTCACCTGATGCAGCGCTATAAAATCCTTTAAGTCACGCCATTTGCTCTCGTACAATGAGCGGCGGGAATACATGCGCTGGATTATCGCCGTCACATTACCGAACACGACGGCGTGCATTAATGCTGTCAGATGGACGGAAAAAGCCGGCAGAATATGTGTAACGCACGATGGATTAAAAAAGAAAGGAAAAAACATGATTTAAAATTTTAAGGAAATCCTGGTTAATTACTTTTCAAATCCATACATAGAAATACAGAGAATATATTTATGAATTGTAAAAAAAGTACTATGTTTTCTCGCTTTCTTACCACCAATTAACATCATGATAATAGAGAAAACCTTCTCGGCTGTCGTGTTCGCAGAAACATTGCCAAACCCCACCGACGTTAGGCTGGTGAAGGTAAAATACAGCGCCGTCGAATAGGCCTCAGCGTTCGTGATATTAGTGATAGGTATCTTCAAGCGCTCAGACAAAGCATGCATCCAACCTGAAAGCACGATAAATATATGTATAAATTTGTCTTCACAATTCCAGGAGAAATAAACGTTGTATAATGGATTGATGCGGAGTATACGGAAAATATATTATGTTTTAAGAACTTCGTTGATCTTTGGTAATTTAAGATAAGTTAGCATACCAACAGGCGCTCTTAAGTGAGAACAATTACTAGAAGTGATAGTCGGAAAGACATATAATTCTTTGGAGATAAAATTATTGATTCTAACTTTTAAGACAGCAAAGTCGTTGACAGACCTGTTTAAAAACCTCAACGAAAAAATGACAAAAATTACTTGATAGCTAACAAAGTGCTCTTTCTTCTTATTGATGTCCCAAAAATTTCATTTTTTTAGGCATTCACACCACATAACATAGGTGTGCCCCTTAAGGCTCATATTAATTAATCAGACAACTGAAAGTATTAGCGTTCGAAAAAAGTTTCCTTCACAGCTCACAAGCAATTGTCCTCACTCCTCAGTGATATTACGTTTTACTACTCATTTAATAAATCAAAATTGACACTTCAATAAATTCGCCTTCGCCTAATTGAATTGACCTATTGACCTTTCCAGCGCCTATCACAAGACCACTCACATATATATAACATTAGAAGCTGCTGACATTCGCTGAAACAGATTACACATACACGCAAAGTAAATGACACCCACATACACACACATATTTGTGAGCTATAACAATTGCATGATTAAGCTAGAAAGACGGTCTTTGCAAGGCGAAGCAAAACAGTGACAAATGATCCAGTGAAGGAGTACGCAACAAAAACAACGATAAAATAGCAAATGTCAACAATGTCGGACTTAGAAAAATAAACTGCGTAAGCAGGCACTCCCACACAAACACATTAGACGACACTCATTGTTGATAGCGAGCGCTGTTGATTCAGTAGAAGCATAGACGAAAGAGATAGAGTAAGCAAAGAGAGATGGGGCAAAACACGGAAACAGCTTCGTCAGCAGATCATTGCGAAGCAACAGCTCAATGTCAGCAAACAAACAAGCGAAGCAACAAATGTGTGACAGGGCGAGTGAGAGCGGATTAGGGCTGTGTATGTATTTGTAATAACTGTTTGCGTCTGCAAGTGTGTGCTCAGAATTAGAAATGCAGATATGTATGTATTTGTGTATGTGAATCGTCTTTGTCTTTCGAAAATAGTTTGTACTGCAGCGCCTTACTCTAACAAGCGGAACTGATTGAGGGCATAAGGAAATTGCTTATAAGTTTACATTTCCTGGCAACGCCAAGGAGGCCATACATAGATATGTTGACATGTGTGTTGCATCCATTAGCAAATTATACGAATGGATGTGTATATACTTGCATCCTCATTGGCAATGGAAGTTGACGCTAATTTTCGGCTGATTATATGGAATGAGAAAAGTTTGAAGAAACAAAAAGAGATATTTGTTGCATGAGATAAATAAAATAATAAAGTTCAGTTATGCGCTTATAATCCATTAGTGAAATCTAACTATCCACCCACTAACGGTACAACTCCTTGAAAGAAAAGGAAAGGAAAAGAAAGCAAAGGAACGGAACGGAAAATAAAAGTAAGAAAAGAGGAAAGAAAAGAAAAGGAAAGGTAAGGAGAGAAAAGGAAAGGAAATTAAACTAAAGAAATGAAAAATAAAAGTAACGGAACGAATCGAAATGAAATGAACAAAACTTAAATTAATTTAAATGAAAATGAAAAGAAAGGAAAGGGAAAAAATTAAGTGTGAAAAACCGTGACATAATTAACTGAAATCAACCAAAAAGAAAACAAAATAAAAACAAAAAAAAAACATTTAACTTAAGTTGCATCGAAGCTATATTAACCTTTACATCTAAAAAAGATTGAACGCCAGAACAATTTGTTCGGATATTATTGCATTGCATTCGATAATAATATGTTCTTAATTTCGTCACAATATCTTGCCAAATAAAAAAGTTATCCATAAAAGGATTTGCTTAAGATCATTCAGTTTGTATGCCAGCTATATGCTATAGTGGTCTGATATCGGGGGTTTCAACAAATCAGCAGCTTTTTGGAGAGAAAAGTACGTGTGTAAAACTTTGGGACCAGATCGCGTATGAACAGACGAACATAAAGTATGAAAAATAAAGAAAACGAAAAGATGCAAAAAGATAGATAATTAAAGGCTTAACAACGGAGCAGAGGATTGAAAGATTGCTTCAGTTCTGCAAAAGTATTCAAAAAGAAACACCTGGGTATACATAAGAATGGATGAAAGTGCTGTAGTCCGTAAAATATATAACTGTGTTTCGAAAATGTTAAAGAGTTATATGGGAATAAAGGTGGTTAAAAAGTTGACTAAGTGATAACCACAGAGTAGGTTCGGTGCCAAGCATATTTTTTGGCCTCTACTCCACATTTTAAAGGATTAAATCTTGAGCAGACCTTAATAGAAAAGGAAGTGCAACCAGAACTTTTTATTTTTCTCTCAATACTAATTAATTAATTATTGAGCGGATGACTTTTGCCACATATTACCACCTTAAAGGCAATGTTAACCCTTTGTAAACATATTTATTGGTACTTTTCAAAAAACTAGTTCTGAATACGCCAAATTTCAGACCAGAGAAATGCTTTTCTAAAGTAAGAGGTGTCAAGAAACTTCAATATTTTTCAACACTTAAAAAAACATTTGGTCGCATTTGCGTCATACTTTTAATATTATTCATTAACGCTTTTATATACTTTCTCATATAAATATATATTTTTTTCACTGAACTTCTTTTATATTATTATTAGTAGAATTATATTATTTTAGTAGAATTTTATTTAAAGTTTTAAGTTTATTTAAAGCTTTTGGTATACTTTCAACCATTGTCACTAAACCACAATTTAAGCACAAAACCATTTTATATATACCATATATACATATTTGCATACAAGTTAGCGAACTAATCAAATGTTCGAACACTCAAACCACGTGACAGGCGTCACAATGAGTGTTGGTCAAATACAAAATCTCGAATTTTCCTACAAAATCCAGCAACAACAAATTTTCTACAAATGTCTATGCATAGCCAATTTATAGGTGCGCTCTTGTTAAAACTTGAGGTCATGGTCAGGTGGCCACTTTCGTTCTGCGCCATCGATCTATTGCTTAACAATACTGACAATAATATAATTCCTATGAAAACACCAACAAGTAAGCGAAGATTTTAATACACATACATATTTATGTTTGTGTGTGTAATTGCTCATTTGCTTAAGAGATTTAAGTCATGTTGTCGGCAAGGCCTTTCCGAAAATATAGAATTTGATTTTAATTAGTTGCTAAATAGCTTATCACTTATGAAGTGGCAAGACAGCACAGCCAAAAATGTTTAGGGAAGTATGCGTTTGACTTTAGGCAGTCAGCCTTAGCAAACTCGTTATTAAGTCTATTCGTAATTTACAATTTGTCACGGAAGCAAAGTCAATTCGAGCTGTGTGATGGACTTTTAATTACTTCGGTTAGAAAATGCGGCAAGTCTTGTGTTAGTTTGCATGCTGAGATTTGTCGCCAGTGCCACAAACACAGCTCCACTAATGAGCATTGCCTACTAGAGCGCGCAACAAAAACACTCATGAGTATGTCTTACTATAGAAGTTAGAGGAGTGTAGCTTTTGTGTGGCTTAGAGTTCTCGAAGAGCTTACCAAAATATTGGAAATAGCTGGCAGTGAAGATGATAAGTGATACGTATATTTCAATAGAAAGAAGTTGAAGGTAAAGCTTGGTAAATTTATTATTTTAAAGATTTACGCAGAAGTAAATTGTTTTAATAACAAATGTATCAACGTAAAAATCCCTTTTCCTCTTGTTACCTTTCTTCAGTCCAAAATTATTGACAGAATGCCAAATTTCCATCAAAAAATAAAAGCTCATATTTAAACAAAAAATAAAATGGTTCTTTTAATAGCATTGTCCTATGCACTGGTTAAATTAGTTATATTTGCAAGATTCTTCTGTCTTAGAGTAGATCTCAACAGTTCCACTAAGCTACTAGATCAATTGAACAGAGGTTCATGCTAAAAATATACCGAGCTTCATTTGCCAAAGTTGTCTGGAAGAAATTTCGGCATGTACTTTTCTCTGACCAGTTTTGTGATCAACACTAAAACATCATGAAAGTCATCGCTTTAGTGATTCATCAGAATTGGTTAGCATTAAAATTAGTTTGATAAGCTCAGTTAACCAGTATATAAAGGTTTGATACACTTAAAACCGCTATTCAGCTGCTTAAAGTATGATTCCCGATATATCTATCTCTGCACTACCCTAAACCTAACCTAAAATTAGAAACACCAACAACTCCCATAGATATTGGGTTTGAAAATAGGGTTCAACATATCTAATATATCGAAAAAGACTTACTCCAACAGCAGACCGCCCTTAGCAGCCGGCTCTCAAAAATAACATAAGTACATATTCCCCAACAACACTCCTAAACCTCTATACAGAACTAAATAAATATGAAAGAATTATCAATATAAAAAATAATTTTTTTTTTTTCAAAATTGGAACGTTCATTTAAAAACCAATAATATTATTCAAAGTATTGCCCATCTGAAGCTATAACAATTTCCCATCTTTCTGGCAATTTGGGAATTTCATCCCAATAAAACTGCGCCGGTTTCGAAGCCAAGAATGAATCAAGCCATTTTTGGATTATTTGTTTTGATGTGAGTCGTGTTCCAGTGAGGTTATACTGCATCGACCGGAACAAATGCTGATCAAACGGGTAGTGAGTTGGGCTTTAAGGCAGGTGTGGCAAAAATTTGTAGCAGTTGTTTTTCAATTATTATAGTTAAATTATCACATCGTGTCTAGACATTTTTTCAGCCGTCGCTCGCTTCAATTTGATGAGTTGTTTTCGGCAGCTTTTAAATATTTTGAAATGGTTGCTTGAGCAAAATTCAAATTCAAAAATTCTTTGAGCTCTTCTTGTATCTGGCAACAATTTTCATACTGTAATATTTTGAGTTTCTCAAACTTTTTTGATAGTGCAAGACGTTCTTGGTTCTCTCAGCCAAAATTCTCACTTTTAAATCGTGTACACCATTTTTTGTCGGATTCGATCAGCTAGCGCATGTTCACCATAAACTTTCACCGAAATACCATCATTTTTGGCTGAGGTTTCTTTAAATTAAAAAAATTAAGAATACTCCCCTTCAAACGCACTTTTCCAAGCACAAAATTCGATGCATTTCAGTGTAAACAAGGTTGCATTGAAGCTGTAATACCCATTTATAAATACAAAAGATTCCTTACAAAAAATTTAATCGATCAGCTTGTGTGGCTGCTATATGTTATAGTGACTCGACTTCTTCGGAGATTGCATTATTGAAAATTGAAAATATCTCAAAATTTTATATCGATATCTCAAAAATTGAGGCACTAGTTCGTATATCTACAGACGGACGGAGAGTTATACGGACACGGCTAAATCGACTCACCTCGTCCTGCTGATCATTTAAATACACACTTTGTATGGCCTCCGACGTTTCCTTTTGGGTATTACAAACATCATAGCAAACTTAATGGTACAACCTGTTTAGGGTACAAAAGTGATTGTTGCTTACGCTTCCAATGAATAATATATGCTGACGCACAAGGACAGCAGCTTTCCAACTAAAGTTAAGAATATTGAAGCAATCGAAAAATAAGCCTGTTACTACATATATTCTCAAATAAATATATTTATAAACCCAAAAACAGTAAACCTCTTTTGAAAATCCAGGTGGCAGTAGAAGAAAGAAGAACTCATACTGTCAGTATCTAATCACTTGTAGCTCTGTTTTTGCATATATCGAACTAAAGCAAATTTACTTCAAAAATTGTCAAACCAAAAATATGTATCTGTAAGTATATTTAAAATTGTTGCAAATAAGGTGATGAGCTTGTGCGAAATTAATCGTAATGGCTCATGTACACACTGCTCACCCCACACATTTGCACGTGTAACATTGTAAGTTACATGAAAGGACATGTTGTGGGACACCTACTTCCCTCGCGGTCATACAGTGCGTATGAGTAATTTTCATGCGAAGGCAAAACGCATGAAATTAAACACATTACCGTAACTGAGGCACAAGCGGGCACACACACTCTCATCTATGCATATGTATGTAGATTTAGGCGCGTAAACTCACCTATATCCCAGCCGCTATCATTCATCATGTACTCCTTTTCGGCAATGATATACCAGATGCAGGCCAACCAATGCGCCACCAGCGAGAAGCACAACATCAGCAGTGTCAGTATCATGGCGGTGTACTGTGAGTATCGATCCATTTTTTGCAGTAGCCGGGCTAGGCGCAACAGGCGTGTCAATTTCACCAAATGAATGTGCGACTCCTGTGGGAAGAAAAGGAAACCAGAAAAAAAAACAAATTATCAGTGCAAAAAATTGTGTTATGTATATGGTGGTATGCTTTTCATTGTGTGTCGAAGGTGCTGGCACGTATAGCACGCTTGAAAGCAATCTGCTTTCACTGAAAATGTGGTAAACGAAAAAGATTTCAACTTTGCAGCGGAGTCACACAGAACGTGAAAAGTTACGCCGTCAATGAATTTTCATGCGATATTTCTTTATTTTACATGGACGGATGTATAAAATCAGATGATCCGAATAAATAAAGCATTATAAAAAAGTAAACATAAGGTGTCTTATTGTCGACAAAAAGATATATTATTTTTAAACCCTTTATAGAACAGCAAGAAAATTATACATAAATTTTAACCTACGAATTTTCTACTGTAGAACATATTGGCTGAGATTTGCCATACTACTTTTGAGACTCTTAAATTATGATAAATTTAATGGTAGCTTTACATTCAATGATATCAGGTACACACCGGTTAGTTTCTGAATAAAAACAAATACACAACTATAACAAAAATATAGCCTAAGCCAAAACTAAATTAGCATGCACGTATAATGAACACGGCAGCAACTCGAGTGACAAAAGCGAACGTAACTCAGAAAGTCAACAGCAACTCACCGCGCAACACTTAATTTAAGAGCACACCCATTCAATCAAGTGGGTTCAGCTGTGTGCTGAAAAGAAAGAAGTCATTTACTGCAGGCAAGAAGGTGAGTCGCAGCAGTTGCTGCAGATAGAAACATGCGGTCACACGGCACAAACAAACATGAACTGTGCTAATAAAATCCATGCTGTGTCTTTATGCTATGATACGCAGCAGTAGACGAGTTAATCCCAGCGATTTTGTCGCCGATGCCGCAGAAAGTAAGCTAAGACGGATGAGCAACTAGATGGAAAAGAAAAAAATGCGCAACACAAAAGTCACCAGACAAGGAGACAACTAAAGTGCGAAGCAGATGGTAGGTGGTGAAGTGAAGTTTAGATTTTTAGGCGAAAAAGAAAGTGGAGTAAAAAATTTGAGTTGGGTGAGATTAATATAAGGAGTATTAGTATATTTTTTTATTGTTGACTGTCAAAAGACTAAACTCAGATGCACTTTCATTGAAGCTTGAAGTTCTAGATATTGTGAAAGCATTGATTTAAGAATATATTATTGTATGATATTACAATAAATTTTAATATTCTCACCTTGCTTTCATATAACTTAATCACTTGCAGTTAACCCCCGTTTTTTTTCTTTTTGCCTGCTCTACCTCCTCTTTGCATTTACTTCAAGGTGAGAACTACTCCGTGCTTATTAAAAATACGGCAACAGTTAGTGCAGCGTTTAAGTTGTCACAATAAGAAATTTATATTGCCTACTTTATGGCGCGCAAGCAGTGTCGTGCGCTTTTCGCTGTTGTAATTTAAATAATTTATTTTATCTTCTCTATAAGCGCGCTCTTAATGAAAACAAATTGCTACTCGCTTCTCTAGTTAGAAAGTACTCTCACTGTGGCACATAATAGCACTTTACGGAGCAGATTAGCGGTGGATATGTATCCGTATGCAAATTAATTATTAAGGCTATATTTTATTTCTTTTCTGAATAAAAGTTCAAGAAACTTACTATGACAGTTTTTTAAGTTGCAGGACAATTGGAATTTTTGATTTGTATACGCAAACGATTAACAATTTAACCTCAATACTAAAAACTACTTTTTTTTACTCTGAACAGGATATATAATATATAGTTAGCCACGAAGTTTATATTACTAGCAGCATAAGTTGAAGGACCTAAAAAGTATATATATAAGTTATTAGCGTGACAAGCTGACATAGCAAGACTATGACCTAAGAACATATTCTTTTGGTTGGACTTCTATATCATATATATAGATGCCATAAAAATTTATCGGTCAAAATTAAAGTCCTGGTAGAAAAAACTTTTTTGATAGAGAAATTATTTTCACCAAATTGCGCATAGATTGTTATCCAAGACAACGCTATAATCTTCAAGCATATTGTTTAGATCGGACTACTCTAGCATATAGGTCATACAAATAAACCAATCAACGTCAAGGTTAAGATCTTTCTGTACTCTTTCAGATTATAAAAAATGGATCACGGTAGGGTTCTACAGCTTCAATGCAGCCGACTTTAAGGACTTTTTCCTGTTTTGTTCTAAAAATTCGGCAAAAATTAAGCTTTTCAAAGGAGTATACAGTCATTTTGAACTTAAAAAATTTAGTCTGTAAGCCAGTTATTTAAAAATGGTTTAAAATTACTGAAATTTCAGATTAGTTACAATTTCAAGCATGTCATTATTTACTTGCGACCGCATTAAAGTCCACTCTCAAATTATTTCTGACGCAACTGCTCAGTTGTATGAACAGTTACCGCAAATCAATAAAGTAAAGTTATTACCCTCAGTAGAATTCTCGTTTCCTTATTAGAATTCAAATCTTTGAAAGTACCTTGACTCTCATCATTAAATTCCGAGACTTGAACTTCCAAGAAAGTATTCCACTTACAAATATTTTGTTCCAATTACGATACTACAACTCTTTATTGACTCGTTTTACCATCACGATGCCAGCAAATGACTCGTACTCAGCATAAAAAAGTGCAAGACCTTTAAAAGCTCTTAAATCGCATTTAATCACTGCTGATTATGCTGATGATTCGCTGGAATGCCAACAAAAGCAATATGTCTGCAGTAGGAAAAACTGGTTGAATGCCAAGACAGGAAAGCTGACTATCTCATCACGGTTGCAATGGTAGCAGGAAAAATGAGATATATCCCATCAGCATTGTTTGTCGGACGCAAATATAAGGCAATGCACACAATCTTCCTATCCACCTACCTGTCGACATCCTGCCGACATTGTGTATACGAACTGCAGCGCATTGCATACGCGTTCGGGCAACAAAAAAGCTGCATTTTTGTTGAAAGAGCAAAACTTTGAAAACTTGGCAGATAAAGGAAATGAAAAGTTACAAAATAGCCTTAATGCCATTTGAGGTTAGGGGAATGTAGGTAGTTACTATGTTTGGGGATTTTATAAAATAAATCAAACTCGAAAGCAGATAGTTGCTTTGGTGGTTAGAAAAAGTCAAACTGCTGCAGTGATTTTAGTGAGTAAGCTCCGCATGCAGTTTACAAGGTAGTTGCAAGACTAAAAAGTTGTGCTCATATAAATAGAAATAAAAAATATAATTGAGGAGTAGCCAAAACTCTAGTGGCAACTGTGTGTTATTTCTGAAACAGGTTAACAGAGAAATAGAAAGAAAGTCTCAGTCATCTAAGAACACAAGAAATTTTCGTCAATACTAAAAATGTTAAATTAGAAGGCAATCCGGACGAAGATAAATTTGCCAATATTCATAAAATAATAAAAGGAAAAGCTACTTTTGAACCATACATGTGAACACTTTATAAAACCTTCCATACACTTGCTATAAGCATTGGCCTAAACAGTAATGATCCGCCCTTAGCTAAGCTATCAAGCATCTCTTTTGCGGCCTCCACTGGACCAGTCTGGGGAAAATTCGATCAGTGGGTATATTCCAGCGGTTTATTTTCTTAAAACTACGCAGTACGTAATTGTCACGAATGCTTGTGACTCTGATAATTACGAAGCGCTTGAAGCTTCCTGTAAGCACTGATAATTATGAAGGACACCTTCTTGCAATATTTATGAATAAATTCAGAGTTGGTCTTATTTCGTGTATAAAAAGGAAAGCTTAGCTATAATAAAACAGATATTTTAAACTTAATTTCCAATTTAGTCAAATATTATACTTCCTATTCCCGGGACACAGAAAATGTATACACATATTCGATTTTTTGTAAAGCTTTAATTAATTTGAAATTATATACTAATTTTAGAAAAGCCATTAAACATGTTTACCGTGCTTGTCAGCCAATTTGGTATTTGAAATTTTCTGACAGCCTTCTTTAAAAAAAAGTTTAAATAACTCACACCGCAAAATAAATTCAACAAATAAATGAAAAAGTTAAGGCTAACTTGAAAATTGAAAGAAAGAAAAATCAGCATCTGAATTATACACGTCCATCGCAAGCAAGTCTTAAAGTTATAAAACCAACAAGTGATTTATGCAACTTGTTGCTGCGCCGTTGGGAAAAAAAGTTTTCCTTAATTCTTTTCATTTTGCTACGCGCCGACTACTCACCTCGCCATTATATAGATCCGATGCATACAGATGATCGAACGGCAACGCCGCCAGCAAATCGACAACAAACCAGCCACGCAAATAGTTAATAGCAATCAGCCTGGAATCGGAGACAACTTCACCTTTGCTCGAGACGAATGTTGTACGAAAATTCAATAAAATGTCTGCAACGAAAGCACAACAAGCATCAAATATGTACTTAAATATTGGCACATAATAAAATATTCACAAGCCGCCGTTGACTGGCGGTCGTAAATAAGCGTTAGAAATAAATAGGCATGAAAATTTAATAAAAATAAATACAAACAGACCAGCAGTCTGCGGTGACTAAGTAAATGTAATCAAATGCCGCAGACTACTCGGCTAGAATGTTGCAATAAAAAGAAGAAAATATATATGAGTAGTCAGCATTTACTTGACCTAGACATGATAATTTATGCATATTTTCTTCTTTTATATATATTTTCTAAAAAGATATATGTGTTTCAAATGGCACTTAAGTAGTTTTATAGCAGTACGTATGAGTGACCAACGTTGCGTATGAGTAACCTGCATATTTATTTGATTTGATTTGATTTTATTGCTATAAGCGGCTTTAAACTGGAACTGGCAATTTCATTCGTTATGAGTAGATGAGTTTGCTCAGCGTGAAGTAGTTCAGTAAAACAAATGTTGTTGTTGTTGCAGAGGTAGAGCCAAAGCTTTAGTCTTGCAGGCAACTGACTTAGTTTGTGGCACAAGCAACTTAAGGGGGTTATATCCACTTGCATGTCGGAATAAACGTGCCATTTTCATTTATATTTTTTTAATATAATTTTATTTTTTTTTTTTGAAAAAGCATTCCTTTCAATAATTGAAAAAACACAGAATTTAGTGTTCTTTAATATTCGTTGATTCGTTTTGAAAAATGTTGGATACTTTGATCCTGTAGGCAGCCGATCGCTAGAAAGAATTTTTTGCTTAAATTTTCTAAAATCCAAAAACCAAAAAAAAAAAATATTTTTACTACAGATGAATGCAGGTTAAGATCGAAGAACTAGACAGAACTTTGTTTTTGGACAAAATGGTGGCTTCCCAAAGTAAGTGCTTTTATGTGTAAAAAATTTTATTTCAGAGAGCCTTAAAAACTCATTATTATCAATAATACTATTCCTTTACATTTCCTTATAAATATGTCCTACCTAATAAATATACATACGAAAATTTCAAGGCGACCTGGCTGGACCCAGCGATTAGGAAAAAATTTTCCCCACAGCGCCCCCCAAAAAACCAACGCTTAAAGAAAAATGTGTTTAAAGTCTTCTATCTCTGGAACTATTTTCCGATTCGCCTTCAAATTTTCGAAGTATATTCTCAAAGGTATATACATTCGATACTAACGAAAAAACAAATGTCGATCTCTTGAAATTTAAATTCAAGTTCACGTGGATCTTTAGCTAGACTGTTTATATCGCATATAAATTTAATATCACTAAATTCTAAATAAATTCTTAACCACCTAAACGCTTAATATTCATACATTTAATAATATATGCGGAACGGCATGGCGTATACATAACATATTTTACACAATTTATGTTCTGACTTATTTTTGCGTTTTTAATGCTCTTACTAATTATTATTAATGTTTTACTTTTGAGCTTTATTAGTATCTTATTATCTTAAATTGTCACCAAATAACTTACACACGCATATTCCTCATATAGTTCTTCAATAAATAATACCCATTATAGGCGGTCAGTCTATACGCAAACACTTTTACCAAGCTACTTTTTCATTCAGTTTGTAAATGTTTTTTACGCTTCCCTCATGCATATTTTACAAAATATCGCCAAACCACGCACTCACCTGCTATGAACAGCGCCTCAACAATAACATCCGACACCATGGTTTGACGATCCGCTTTCGCGAATGCCGCATTGTACGGCACCAAAACGGCGACATAAAATGTGGACACCAATATTATCCAGTCCCAAAAACCCTTGAAAACACCATAATGCGGCAGAATGAAGCGTGACTTTTTTATTGATTGCGTTTTGTATTCGGGAAAAGGCGCCTCCGTTGAATGCAATAAATTCTGTTTGGAAAAAATGCAAAGAAAAACAAAAATATTTAGTATGAAAAATGCGGTAGATATTAAAATTTGCGCGAAAGAAAAAAAGAAAACAACAAACGGAGGGTAAGCTGAAAAAACGCACTAATTGCTTGAATGACAGTATCTAGCCGACAATTGTTGTTGTTGTAGTTGTTATTGCGCGTGGCAAAGAAGGGCTTAAATTACATTCAAGCTGGATGCGAGAACTATTTGTATAACCGTATTCGCTGCTGTGAAGGCACACAAAAGAACGCTGCGTGAGTTTATTTGAATAGAATCACACACAAACACACGCATATGCACATAACTTTTCACGTTTATTCGCCACGAGCGTTGTGTTGTGGATATTGGATTTATGTACTGCTAACGGTTGAATGTAATATGACTCGACTTACACACGATTGCAGTTGTATGGCATTAGTTTTATTCGCATGTCTGTTGAATTTAATTAAGAGGCAAAAACGGAATGATAAACGTACGAATATGTGTGTGAGACATATGTACGCATGTAGCAGGTGTATGTGCACGAGCTTGTTTATCGCTCTCACACGAAACTGATATAAGAGCTAGTGCTGTTGTTAGTAGTTTGCACATTACGAAGGGATACCTTACAAACTATCCTTATGACCCAACCACTCACTACAAAAACATTGAAAAAGTCTGGAAAAAATTGCTTTAAGTCCGGTGAGGGTAACTAGACCAATAGTCATATACTTGTATAAGGTCTAGTAAAAACGTATCCATTATTTTTCTAATAGATGGCGTCAGTAATCCGTGTCTCGCGTGGTATAAGTGTTTCGCAAACTTTGGCCGAGCCATAACTGACGGTCGGGAAGATTTCTACTATCTTCACTTAGTGCTAAACTCTAAATTCGGACTTGTACTGTCAACAATTTGGAATTATGTTTCACCAGGACAACGCTTGACCACATACAGCGCTTGTGACTAGCCAGTAGCTCCGTGTGCTCGGTTGGGAGATTATTATGCTTCCAGTTTATAGTCCGGTCCTGGTACCATGTGAATACTATATGTACCTGTCTTTTGCAAATGATTCTGCTGGTAAAAATTCGCCTCAAGGAAAGTTTGTGAAAATCTAATGTCCCAGTTTTTTGTCAATTTCATAATATCTCAAACAAAACGTTGCATATTTGACTTAAATTGGGTCAATCCAAATATTTCAAGGTAGGTAGGTAAGTAAAGTAGATGTCTGTCGTCTTACCTTAGTCGTTAGGAGGCCCATTGTAATAGTAAAATCCCATCACTCAATTATGTCTTCTCTGAACTACCCTGTGCTCCTGTTGAAATTCATCAATACAAAAAGTTTTCTTTGTGCAACCTCCGAGACAATGTCAAGAAACTTTTGACTAATATTTACGATGCTTTTCCTATACAAAGCCTTACATTCGCATAAAATATGTTCTATAGTGTCTTTCTCTTCGATCTCCTGACAGCTTCTACAATAGTCATCGTATGGTGTTCCCAGTCTACTAGCATGTCTGCCAATTATACAGTGACCTGTCAACACTCCTGCTCTAGTTCTTATGTAATTCACTAATCTTTCATTTCTGCCTCCTCTTTCCGTTCCTATGACAATCGGTTCTACGTAATAGTATTATTGGTAAACGTCTCGGCAACTTTAAAAACAATTATTCTTGAAATACTTTATGTCGCTGCAACGCCATAACAACAATACTTAAATTTCTTATATTTTCAAAAGCGATAAAGTTTGGACCTTCGTCCCATACTTGGATAGCAATAAAAATTTGGATTTTGCGAAGTTTGTCTAAAAAGTAAGTTCATATTCCCAAAAGTCTAAATTGTTTTTACCTCAAATCATAAAATGAGGTTTATAATGGTTTATAATAGTTGGCTACTCACATTTCCTAATTTCAATTTCGTCTTCACCTTCTCCGGCTTGTAGTGGCCGGATAGTTGATAGAGCACTGCACGACTACGTCGCCGTCCCATATTACAGCCAGCAGGTACATCCAGATTATTGCCCTCCATACCGTCGCCATCCGCCTCCGATGTCGGCGGACCGCCCAGACCCGGCAGGCCACCCAAGCCGAGCATGCCAGCATTGGAACCGGCACGAAAACGCGCGCCCAGCAAAGCAGCTGTAAGGGCAAAAACTTTGCAGCGTAAACAAAAAAATTGCGAACAGAAGGAAAAGCGATAAGAAGATAAAGGGGGCGAAGAGTATATTTTTCGAAATTATTAATTTTTTTTTTCCCACAAACAAATGCAATGCAAAAGCAAATTAGAGATAAAGGTGAAAAAGAGCAAAAAATAATAATGCAAAAAGAGCGCGAAAAAGACAAGTAAGAGAGTGAGATAGGTGAGTTAAGTGCAGAAATGTGTGGCAAAGTGCGCGGGGTTTTACAGTAGAGTACAAGAGCGCGAACGAGAGAGAGAAAAAGAGAAAAAAGAATGGATAAACAAAGGTGAGGATTATTAATGGTTTTTTCTTATGATATTTATAACTTTATTGACATATACGCTACTTTAAATCTATATAGGTGCAAGTGTAAGCATTTGTTGTGTTGTGTGAAAAAATTACATAATTAAGCGTTTTGAATTTAAGGTCGTTTTCTGTTTTACATTTTTAATTTAATTTTTAGTTTTGTGTTGCAGGCTGCAATTTGCACACTAAATATGTACTCACTTTTAATTAAATATTTTTTGTTACAAACTTTACATGCCACACACGCTTAACTGTTTATAAATATGTAAATAATTTGAACAAAAACTAAAACTACTTGCTACATTCGTGGAAATTTGCTTCATGCCAGAGTGCAGTCATTAGTGGCTGTAAACTTTGTTACAAACAAGGCATGCACACACACATATATAAAAACTAATAAGTGTATAGACACATACATACATATATGAATATAATTTCATATATTGCTGGGCAGCAATTGACCAGCAAAGCTTCACTTTTCTCAACATCTTTATATTTTATAATATTATTTTTATTTTTGTTTTGAGCTTTAGTTTTAACATATATATATATATTTTTTTTGTTATGAATTTACGCACTGAAATGCAACGAGTTGCCGTAGCGTTAAACAGAAAAATTTGCCTTTGCCTCTGCATTTTCATTACTGCAGCGAAACTTTTCTCATTTTATAAGCAAATATTAAAATTTTACAAAGTACTTTCTCACGCGCTACAAAAGCTTGCCTCTCTGCCCTTCTGCCTTTGTTGTTCGACGAGGACGTTTTCATAGCCCAGCGACTTTTAAGCGCTTTTCTGGTTTACACTTAACGCATTTCGCACACATTTTGCGCTTTTTTTCGCGCAAACTTCCTAAACTTCTTTGCCGACCAGCGCGGCCTCTGCGCAAATAAGTGTTATTTTAATTTTTATTAAATTTTAAGCGAGTTGCAGTTGTAAACGCCACTAATCTTTATTTGCGAATTGTTGGCGGCTGTACGCTACAGTGGTGCGATATCGGGGGTTCCAACAAATGAGCAGACTTTTTGGTAGAAAAGAACATATGCAAAATTTCAAATCGATATCTCAAAAATTGAGGGATTAGTTCATATTCGTAGTTGAAGACCACAATCCGTATTGAGAGCACACAGACTCACAGAAAAAATTTCTTATTTACTATAATCAATGTTTTGACAAAAAACAGTTAAACAAATGAAAGTAAATCTTCATCAAACTTCATGAGTTAACTTTGCGCGTTAATTTCAACATTGGTATGCTCCGAAGCGGAAAATGGTATTAGTAGCCGACTAGATCAATTTTAGGCTTTTCAACTCAAATGAATTTGCCGTAACTCTAGTTTTTGTTTATAATAGTCAAATGAGGTGCCCACTTTGACTTTTGGATATTATTTTCTGATCTTGGGTCTGGTGTTCTCTACCAAATTTATGGAATCGCTAGCCGATATGAATATAAAAAATATATTTTATGCAACAAAATTTGCTGCTAAAGACCGCAGTTGGCGAGAGGCATTTCCAAAAAAACAAAACCTCCAAAATAGTGTTGCTAAAAAAATCAAAAATAATCTTGGCCACACTAATAATTGTAATGGCTTTCTTTTTTTTGTGTGCTAAATTAATCGAAGAAAGCTGCTACATCTCTGAAAATTTCATAAATTATGCAAATGCTAAAAAATAAAATATATCAAGTTGCCATAGAAACAAATATTCGAATGTAAAACGTGCAAGTTTAGTTACAACGGTAAAGTGACGTAATAAAAGAATATATTTAAACCAAATAAATACTTCCCATACCTTTCTACAAGTATTACTCTAAACAAGCAAGATTTGTCACACAAAATCAACGACTCACAATATTGAATAAAGTTATTTAGTTCCATGAAAAAATTTTCTTTGATTTTTTAAAAAAAAAATCCGCAACTATTAGTTGCCAACCCAATAATATCGAGTGCGTCTTTTAAAAAATGCTTGCTAAAGCCTGCATAAATAAAAGTTTTATTTAAATGACTCTGAAATTTGATTTTGCAGCCCTTTGCTCTCAGCTTTCGTTATTAGCCAAAGTAGTGGCTATTGTATACTGGTGTCTATTCGAAATAAATATTCTCAAAAAAAATTTTGATCTCGTTAACATTGCACGCCTGTACAGAAAAATTTTCCCAAAATTTAGTTAAGACAAAATTAAATGATTAATTACACAAAGCCATGGAAGATGAATAAAAATTTAACACAATAAATAATTGTATACAATATTATTAAAAAACAAATCATTCGCACTTAACACCATACTTAATAGCTTTTGTTTCTGTAATACTTGTAATGCTATGCCTTGAATTAATCATCATAACAGCACTGAGCCCCGCAATAAATTAAATAAATTAAATTGTCTGCCTTGATAGCAAAGAAGTTTCGCGACCTACAAGAATAAAGACCTTCTTCCAAAATTAACGCAAAAGTCAACCCGCCCAAGACCCATTGGTAACAAATAAGACCCACAATTTAATTTATCCCTTTCGTTGAGTTTTTTATAATGCCGAAAATTCAGAGGTCATTTTCATTGCAGTTATTTCTTTAAGCGCCTGATAAGTTGTTTGTATGCAAACAAATTGGATTTTAATTCAAACAATTTGCGGCTTTAAGAGGTTGGGTGGAAAACCGTTCGGTTGAAGGCTGAGTGTCTTAAGAAAATTTACTTTTTGGCATTATTTCGTCTCTCGGTAGTAGACAAGTCTGCATGCTTAGTTGCATGAAAAATATTTTCTAATCGAGCGCCGTGTATGTGTGCGTTTTTGTATCTGTGTAACAGTATTTGCAGTATGCCCGCGGTTGTCGCTCTCAATCCGTAAATTGCTGTTGGTGAAAGGTTTAAATCAAATATCAAAATACAAAACAAGCGATGATTTGTTTCGTTTGCTAGAAGCGCAAGGGCAACAGTTAAAAAGCAAAAAAATCATGTTGAAACTTAACTAATCATGTTGAAAGTTAACTCAATCAAATTTGAACAAGCGACGTTTAATGATTTAAACAATTAACAACGGATACTAAAAATGGAAAAAAAAATTTTTTTGTGAAAATTATTTTTAAATTGTGCCCCCTGTGCCCCTTTGGAGTCACTCTTGTGGGTCATTTAGATTTTTCTCGATATAATCTTCGAAAATTACTCTTTAACTGAAAATAATTTATTTATATTTTTTATATATTTTTTAATACAACGGCGCGTTCCTAACAGATGGCCGTTAGTAGATTTATATAGGTTTTGAGAAATGTATTATAGTTTCAGCTTCAATTATTATTTAAATCAACAATCATTTTTAGGATGACCTTCTTTATTATTTTTTTTTTTGAATAATTTTTGTCGAAAATATTTTGCAAAAAAATGTCAAAAAATGTTCAAGCTTTTATTATATTACGATATATTATATATAAATATAGTGTTGCATATTTTTGCTTTTTTAAAATAACTGTAAATTTTCGCTTCAGTCAAATATCAATAAAATAATTATAGCTTCATGATTGAGCTCAATCGTTCAATATAATGAAGAACAACATTGGAATTCATCGATGTGCTTCAACACATACGAGTATATATGCACATGTGTATGTGTATCTACATATGAGTTTTCATAGCGTATGCTGCCTGTAATTAAAGATTATGTTCACGCGCATATACTAATACTGTGTTCAAGTGAATTTGTTCTTCTGAATAATTAATAACACACAGTGCCAATGCCATATCCTTCTGAAACATTGCCAGCAACTGGTATTTGCGCCGTAATTAATTACACATGACATCCGCTTTTCTATGGCTGCGAATGGAGCGTGAATTGTCGTTTTACGCTTACATATACACACAAACATATTAGGGTGTCCGCTATTTCCCAGGTTGATTGATTTTTTGCAAACGCCCCCTGAAGTTATAGTTTTAGCCCTAAAAATAAGGGCGCAACGTGAACAAGCTCTTTATTTTTAATTTAGACGATGCCTAAATAAATTTTCTTTTCTCATGTTTATAACATGCCATTTCTTAATATTTTTCATTAAAAAATAAAATTTACAGCTTTCAAAAAGTGATATTCTAATATCAAATTTATTGCTCATTGCTCTATAAAAAAAGGTCTTAATAGTTTTTTTTTCATAAAATCTTTCGTTTAAAAGTTATACTCAGTGAATGTTATACATCAAACGGCTTGAGCATTCATGCGAGTGCCTAATAAATGCTATGTTACTCATACGACATGCAGTACTATATGAATACAATACACTTTTTACTTCAACTTTGACCTTGAATAACTTTGACACAAGTGGATTTTTTGAAAAATGTCCCAGAAAGTTTTTGTGAACGTTCCATTTCCTATAAAAATAATTCGATGCCGCAGCAATGTATTAACTGGCTTTGCAAAAAAAATGTAATTGCAAAAAGTACGAAAAACCCTATGTTATTGAAATGGGAAATGAATCGGCTTTGTGGCACGGGCCATTATCAATATTAAGAGCTCAAATGGGTTTTATAATTTTTTTTAGGCATTTACAGAGTCGAAAATCAATTTGGGATATAACGGACACCCTAATACATATACACATACATACACGCATTTTGTAGAGCAAGCTCATAAAGTATTTTCCACTTCATTACAAGCATATTGCGTGTAAAATCACAACAACAAAAACCAGCTACACGC